TACATCTACAGAGCCAGAAGTCCAAGCCATATTCAAAAGAAACTATAACATGAGGGATATTATTGCTGAATTCTGATGGATCTTGGCTAAAAGCAGAAAATATCAGAGATATGTTTATTGTTACATTGGCTACACAAAGGCATTTGATTTTGTGGATCATGAAAACCAATAGGTAACCCTTTAAGAGATGGGAATTCCAGAACACTTCACCATACTCATGTGGAAACTATAGAATGACCACAAGACAGTCATTCAAATAGAACAAGGGAATACTGCATTGTTTATTTTTTTTTAAAGTTTGCATTGAATTTGTATTCTTTCATTAAACTTATTCAATCTGTATGCTGAGCAAATAATCTGAGAAGCTATAATTTCTGAAGAAGAATGTGGCATCAGGATTAGAGAAAAGGTTATTAGTAGCCTAAAATATACAGATGACACAACCTTATTTTCCCAAAGTGTGGAGAACTTGAAGCACTTGCTAATGAAAATCAAAGACTGTAGCCTTCCTTATGGTCTGTAACTCAAAATAAAGAAAACTGAAGTCCTCACAACTGGATCAAGAGAAAACACCATGATAATCATAGAAAAAGTTGACATTGTCTAAGACTTCTTTTTGCTTAGATTCACAGTCAAACAGTCACCAATAAATCAATGATGTACTGCATTGAGTAAATCTGACCCACAAGACCACTTAAAAGTATTGTAGAGGAAGGATGTCACTTATAATTAAGGTGTGCAGGACCCAGGCCCACAGTATTTTCAATTGCCTCATATATATGTGAAAGTTGGTGAGGTAGTTAGTTTATTGTTCCAACCTGGCCAATTAACACATGTAGGGTTAATTGAAGGGTAGAGAGATAAATAGCACGGTGAGCCTCGCCTTTCTTGTCTTTTGCTCTTTGATCATCATCGGAACAGTGTCCGTCTGCCTTGCTCATTCTGTGCTTCAATTTGCAAGCTACACTACTTCTGGGATACCTAACCTATGGACTGTGTTGCTGTAATTTGAGGTTCCTTCAAGACCTGCTTCGCCACACAATTGGAATTTACATCTCTTGAGCTGGGGACTGTCAGACCCTGTCATCTAGCTGACTGTTGGTGACCTGCCTTGCTGTTTGCTTCCTGTGCCCGGATAGCCTGAATTGCTCTACAGAGG